TGTGTGTGTTCAGGCCCGTCTCAACTGCTCTGTCTCCGGAGACTCCTTCTTCTACTTCGACATCCTCCAGTCTCTCACCAACGTGCTGCAGATCAACCAGAGACCTGCTGTGGTCGGCGTCTTCACCACTCAGGCCAACAGGTACGCATCAGGGTCCGTCTGTCTGTCCCACTGTCCCTGTGAGGACCCGTCTCAGTCCCAGACCTGAGGAGAGAGGACACTTTTAGAGAGTGAGGACACTTTTTAAGTGAAGACATTTTGGTGAAAGTGAGAATATTTTTAAAATATGAGGACATTTTATAGAATGTGAGGACATTTTGAAAAGTGAAGACATTTCTTTTGAAGTGAAGACATATGTTTGAAAGTAGGACAGTGAGTCTGGTCCTCACTCCTACAGAGGACGGCTTGATAGAACGGTTCCTGACTCTCTCTGCAGCATCCCCGGCTCGGCCGTCTGTGCGTTCTACATGGACGACATCGAGAAGGTCTTCAACGGGAAGTTCAAGGAGCAGCGGACCAGCGACTCGTCCTGGACTCCAGTTCCTGACGAGCAGGTTCCCAGACCCAGGTGAGACCATCTGAATCCAGGACTACTTTAAGCCCAGTAGCATTTCAACGAGAGCATTTTATATTTTTAAGTTTTTTCCCTCCAGACCCGGTTCTTGTGCAGGTGACGGTCCGGCTGCAGAATTCACGTCGTCAGTTCAGTTCCCCGACGAGACGCTGACGTTTATCAAGTCCTATCCTCTGATGGACGAAGCGGTTCCCTCCGTCAACGACCGGCCCTGCTTCACCAGGACCTCCAGCAGGTAATGAAGCCGTCCCGTAGCTGGACCACTGGGATAACGTGGATTACTGGGATGTGGGACTCGTTGAATAAGGCAGCTTGGTCCGGTTACACGGCGCTCCACGTAGCCCAAGTTATGGCGGGCGAAAAGAAAGGGAAGTGGGGTCACGTTCATCTAGAGAGAGAATCAAACCAACCCGTCTGTCTGTCTGCGAGCTAGGAGCTAGCTGTCTAGCTGTCATTGGTGGTTTTTGATTTTATCGTAGTATCATTTTGTAATATTTCATGGTCTTCTCACACAGCCAGCTGCTTCATCAGCGTCATTTAGATAAAACTGATCTACGTATTGGAATCTAAATGGTGAATTTCTTGCCTTTAAAAATTAATGAATCTTAAATAAAAACAAAGCTAAACTAAGTAACTAAGTAATTCGCAGTCGCAATCTTGGATTCCGGTCGTCGCCATGTTGTTGGTTTTTGCAACCAGTGAACAGGAAGTGACCATATCTGGACTGAGGAGGAGTGACGCAGAGACGCTGTGTACGTCTCTGGTAGAGACCTGTCAATCACCGTGTAGCCCCGCCCTAAAGCATCCCCTGCTTTATGGTCTGTTTGACTCTAAATGGACCATAATGTACTAAATGAACATCATGCTGTATTGAAGAAGACTTGAAACTAGAGATTGAGACCATAAACTCATGTTTACAATGTTTACTGAGGTAATAAATCAAGAGAGAAGTAGAGTCATTTTCTCATAGACTTCTATACAACCAGAGGAGTCGCCCCCTGGTGGACACTAGAGAGAATGCAGCTTTAACACATGAAGCTTTGA